CTAGAGTGATTTATAGCTAAACGGATGCACATTGAGGTGATACTCTTAATAAAATAAATAGGACACATGTGTAAATACAGAATAGTGTTTCTCTGGTGTGAAAGACTAAAAGTGTAAGTGAGGTTCAAATTGTATAATTGATAATGTGAAATGAGAAGAAAAGTTCTGAAGGAGTAGGGGAAGTGGGAAGGGTAGGGGAATGGAAAGAAGGAAAAGAAAAAATATGGGAAAAGGAAAAAAAATGGAAACAAAGTATTTGTAAGTAGGGAAGGGTGGAGGGGGGAAGCGAGGGCAGGGGAATGGGGAAAAAATAAGAACCGAGATGCATCATGTAAAAGTACAAGATCCTAATGATGAATGTAACTGTACTGTGTACCTAAAATGCACGAATAAACTTAATGGGAAAAATAAAATAGAGCATTCTCACAGTATTGCTACATCTGGAATAATGTAGTATCTTAATTTGAAGTACATGCACTTTGGATGGTGACAACTACATATTACTAATTAATGTGCATTTTAATTATATTGCATGAAGCTAGCATTAAAATAAAAAATTTCACAAAATTAGCTTTTTGATTCAAATTGTATATTAGGCAGTGGGGTAACAATCTTGAACAGCAGATTTGCCTTCTTGGAGCTTATATTCTAGTGGGGGAGACAACTGACAACTTGAAAAATATATTTATATAATTATACACTGCAGCATACATTTATAGAATAATTTAGTGATAATGGCTATAAGAAACATAAGTAAGAATAGGTAAAGATTGTGAGGGGGAAGGGAGCATTTTAAGAGTAGTCTAGGCATGTCTCTGTGTAGGTGGCATTTAAACAGCAACTTGAATGAAAGAGGGTGTAATCCATTCAAAGGTTCTGAGTAGATCTTTCCAGGAGGGGAGCTAGCAAGTGCCTGGCTGGACAATACCATTTATCATGCTCAAGGGACCAGTGAAAGCCAGTGCTGACAGAGTGGTGTTTATAAGGAAGACGGAAGTGAAGAGGAGATGGACCATGCTGTGAGGAAGAAGGTCGTACAAAGCCTCACCGTTATGTATTAGTCTGGGTTCTCCAAGAATCAGGTATAAAGACAGAACGAAACATGGAAGGTTTTATTAGGTGAATATTTGGGTGAGAGAAGACGAGGAGGTCCCAGAAGGCTGGGAGAGGGATGAGACTGTGACGCAAGTCTAACCCAGGCAGAGGAGAGACGGAGGAAGACTGGGTTGGAAGGATCCTGAGGACTGTGGTTCAGCAAGGTTCTCAGTGAGTCCTTAACCCTGAGATGGCCATCAAAGGAGTCATGCGTTCCCCAGGAGTGTGTTGGATTTAGGGCCGGTTCATTGGCTTGGAGCACCAGGGGGGAAGAGTGGCCTCGTGGCAAACAGTGATGAATTGTACTCAATGTAAATTGATGGGAAGTCACTGGAGGCTTTTGTTTGTTTGTGGTATCAGGGATCCAACTCCGGTCCGTGCGCTTGCTCCGGTCCTTCCTTGCACTTTCGAGGCAGGTGGTGGGAACCACTGAGCTAAATCCCCGGCCATGGAGGCTTTTGAATAAAGGAGAAAGTTACCGCATTACTTGTAAAAATGACTCCATTAAAAACAGACTATCAAGGTGTGGAGGTATATTGCACAATATACTGGGAAAATATAGGCTTTGATTAGAATAGTGGCCCCAGAATTTATGAGAAGGCAGTAGGATTCCAGAAGCATTTAGGGATACAACTAAGAAACAGAATTGATTGAATGTTGGTAGTTGGCTTAGTTACTTTCTCTTTGCTGGAACACAATACCCAACACCTGCAACTTAAAGGAAGCGAGGTTTTTGGCTTGTGTTTTGGCTATACTCTGATGGCTCCAATGGAGGGCAGCATGGCAGGAGGGCATGTGAAAAGCTGCCCATGTCATGGTGGCCAGAAAGTTGAGGGCCAAGCAGGGAGCTGGAGAGGGAGTTACCCCCTTTCAGGTCATGCCCCCAGTGGACTGCCTCTTCTGACCGGGCCCCACCTTCTAATGTCACAGATAGCTATAGTACCTCCATCGTTCAATCACCCCTCATAAGCCCAACTTTGATTCTGAGTCTTGGAACTGAGTAACTGTGGGATGTCGTTCTCATTCTCTGAGATGGGATACATTAAGGAAGACATGAGTTAAGGCAAGGGTTCAGTTTTATGTGTGTTAAGTTTGAAATACCCAGTAGCTCTAAGTGGAAATATCTAGTTAGCAGTTAGACGTATGAGTAAATAGTGGAAGAACTGTCCAGGCTAGAAATATAATTTTTGGGTTCATCTATATTTAAAGTCTTGAAACTAAGCAAAGTCATTTAGGGAAAGTATACTAGTGAAAAGGATGGAAGGATCTGAGGACAGAGCTGTGGGTACGTCAAGGGTAAGGAATGGGACAAGGCAGGAAAGGAAACCGAAGGAATAGCTATTAATGTGGAAGAAGAACTGTAAGTTGAAATGTCCAGCAAATATAGGAAGAAAGTATTTAAAAAAGGGAGAGATCAACCATTACAAGTGTTTCTTACAGACTGGTGAGGACTCTAAACTCACCTTTGGATTAGGCAAAATGAAGGTCCTGATGACCTTCACAAGAATGAGATAATTAGAACAGTAGGGAGAAAGGCAGCTGAATGCTGTTGAGCAGGTGTAAAGAGTAGAGACGGATCTCTGGAGGAAGTTGCAGTAGAAGGAGCAGGGAAAATGGTGGTATCCCCAGTCTCTTTATGGGAGTGATTCAGAGCAGGGAGAGAAACTGAATAAACATAAGAAGGGGCTGTAACTGCAGGAGCTAAACTTCCAGAGGCTTCTGGAAAAGAGCTTTGCAGCACAAGCAAATGGGCTGGCCTGACTTATGAGTAAGGTGAGATTCTTCACAGTACTGGGAGGAAAGTTTGAATATAGAGGTATTGACATAAATACTGGTAGACTTGGTGGTAAAAAGAAGTCGATGTTTTCAAGTTGCTTCTACTTCCATAGCGCAATAGGAAGTAAAACCTTGGTTTAAAGTGAGAATGAGGATGAATTAACAGAGGTTGGAGAAAAGAGATAGGGTGAAATAATCATGTGAAGTCTTAGAGTTCAGGAGAATGGGAGAGTCATTGACTAGCGTGCAATGTACAAATGCCAGGCAACATAGAAGGCCCATATCAGATGGGTGTTGGCAGTACTGAAAAGAGACAGTATACACTGTTGTGTGTTCAATTGTTCATAACAGCAGTTCTCAAGTGGAGTCAGTTTTGCCCCCAACAGTACATCTGGCAACCTCTGAGGACATTTTTAGTTGTCACAACTGTGAAGAGGGGAAAGGTGGTTCTACCTGATTGGAGATTTGCATGGTGCATTCTTTTGGCAGGTAAAGCATGGTAAAGAGTTTGGATTTGCTGCAAGTTGGTGGGAAGTGATAGAAGGTGTTGAAAGAGAGACAGAGAGAGAGAGAGAGAGAGAGAGAGAGAGAGAGGGAATCTGATTTAATGATAAAAGCGAGGCCGGGGTACTCCTAAACACCCCATAGTGCACAGGATAATCTCCCAAACAATTAAAAATGAGATACCGCCAAATGTCCATAGCATCTAAGTCAGAAGCCCTAATTCTTAGTACAAGTATTTATCAGGTCTAGATAATAGGACAAAATTCAAGTGTGCCTGAAGGAAAAAGCAAACTGATCTATCTTTAAAATAACTAAATTCTTACCCTTCAATGCTTTATTAGATTTATACATAATATTATTAGTGAGAACAGGCATCTGGCCTTTTTGGATACTCTGCAGAGCACTTAAAGGGTTCTTGAATGGCATGATCTCATCAGCCTCCAGCTTCTAAGGGTAACTCTAGATGAGGTTGATATCAATGCCCGGGGCATGCAAGGCTGAGGGGAACTTCACTGCCTCCTCGTTTCATGTATTTCCTTCAGCGTTGTTGATGTTGATCTTACCCTGGAAATGTGTGTGTAGTTATCTATATCTATGCCTGTATCGGCTTCTGTTGTATTTGTCTATGTATCTATGTTCTTAACCTGGATTTAATATTTACATTAGTGTGGTTTTATAGTTTCTTTTGATATTTGCATTATTATTCTTTTTAAAGTTTTAAGCTCTTGTTTTGGCTGCATAGTTAATTTTAGAATCATCTTTTAAAATTCCGTTGAAAATAATTTGGATTTTTAATCAGAATCATTTTGAATTTCTAGACTTCAAGTTGATTCCTTTTTTAAAAAAAATTTAATTTCTTGGTACATTCTAGGTAGATGGCACAGTTACATTCATTACTGGGATCCTGTACCTTTACATGCCAGGTCTTGGTTCTCATTTTTTCCCCTCGTCCTCACCCTCCCTTCACCCCCCTCCCCTCCCCACCTTGAAACACTTTAATTCTATTTTTACATTTTCTCATATTTTTTTCCTTTTCCCTTATTCCCCCTTCCCTATCCTTCTCACTGTCCCTACACCTTTGGTCCTTTTCTTCCTATTTGCTAAGTGTCCCATTAGGATCTTGAGTACTATTTTAGTTTTTCTCACCAGAGATGCTATTCGGTGTTTGCATATGTGTGCCTTATTTATTCCGCTTAGGAGTATATCCTCAAAATGTACCCATTTACCTATGAATGAATCTACTTTCTCATTCTTTATGTCACGTTGATTCCTTTACTAATAGAACCCTCCTACATACAAAGCAGTAATATATTTTTAATATTTATTCGTATTTCCACTAAGAAATTTTCAGAAATGTTTTTGTTTGGTTATCCTTACATGTGTGTGAGTAAACATTGTAATTGTAGTCATAAATATGATATTGTATTTAATGGATTATTACTGACTTATAGTAGTGCCATTATTTCAGTATACTTATTTTGGATCCCTGAGGAAACTTTCTGGTTGGTTCTAATCAATTGCCGGTTGATGGTCTTGAACTCTGATTGTGTCTGTGTCCATTGTGGGTGTTTGGAGTTAATCCCGGACTCTACTTGAGAGTTGGTTTGTTTCTCACCCTATTTTAGGAGTCCTGCCCAGTCCTCTGAAGTAAATACCACAGCCAAAAGATAACTGGAGGGCCGGGGAAGATGTGATGCAGCTGTCTCAGCAGTTCCACAGGTATTTATTTAATTTACGATCCTGACGGTCTCCTCTCGCTCTGCTTCCCGCGTGAACCGCGAGCTTGCCACTCCTCCTTAGAGAGGGGTGTTCCCTAAAACAGCTCTCTTACACCTAGTGTGCACTGCAGTTTTCTCTGTTGTGGATTTGCCTTCATGCTTATCCCATCTGCTATTTCCTTAAAATTTTTGGCCTACTGATTATGCTTTTCTTTGTTTCTGATGCTGATCTTGCCTTTAGAAAGATCTTCATATTTTCACATCGAGTTTGGGATGGAACAAGAAGTGAACATATGTGTTTAGTCTATGGCTTTGAACAGAAAGCGTTCTGAGCTCTGCTAAGTAATGGCAATTGTTAGTACTGTATTCGACTCTTGCTTTTTCCTTCTTCGGTTGATGAATTATAGAGATTTTAAAAATTGTTTAACATATGATATGAATATAGTATTGGTTAGAAATATTTCCTTTAGTTGTTTCTAAATCTTTAGACTACTATTTCTGAACAGTGATCTTATTTGAAGATTGAAAGTTTTTTTTTTTTTTAAAGGCATCTTTTTGGCGGCTCATGCAGTATGGCTAGTTTGGAATTCAATCATTAAGTAAAATAATGAAGGATTAATCTGCAAACACTCAAGAATAGTGACAGCAAGATCCCAATGATGAATGTAACTGTATTGTATACCTAAAATATACCAGTAAAATGCATTAAAAAAAAAAGAATAAGGACAGCATTAGGGGATCAGCTGCCTGCTGCTTCAGTGCTCTGATGGGACATAAAATAGAACTACCATCAAGAGACTGTTGGATTGGGAGTTTGGAGACCTATAATTGGGTTTCTCTTTGGCACTTATAGTTGTGGGACCTTGCTCAAGTCCCTTAAAATTTCTGAACCCCAATTTTATCATTTGCAAATGTAAATGATTGCATCTGTGTTTTCCTAGCTCACAGGATTCTTGCTACAATCAGATAAGAGAATGAATGGGAAGATCCTTTAAGAAGCCAAAGTTAGGTAAATGTAAGTTAGTATTACATACTCTTATGCATTACCAATGACTGTCCTCAATGATTAGATTTGAAACATCAACAGAATTCTTGACTTCCTTGGAGAGGACTCTTCAAATTTAAATGTTTGTTTTTTATTATTAAAATAAGACTTTAATGTATGAGAAAAAGACAAATGCAGAATAATAAGTTCTTTGTTTAATAAAACAATTTATTAGATCTGATGAAAAGCACAGGTTTGTTTTCATTAGTACTTTGTAATTATGCTTTCCAAAAGGAACCAATATGGAGATGTTTTCATAGAAACATCTGGATAGTGGATTAGACATGTTTAAAATGTGACTTGTCTAAGTATACTTAATTTATTTTGATTAGGTAAGCTTTTTCTCTAGAATAGATATTTAGGCCTCAATTTCTCTTGATTAGTTCCTTATAGCAAATGTCACCTGAAGAAACTCAAGTCTTTTAATTAGAATGCCTAATTGGGCAATCTGTGTGAATCAGTCTTCAGTGTGAGAATTCTGCCAGGCAGGGAATTGTAAAAGAACATTTTTGAAGCCAGGCCATGAAAACTCAGGATTCATTTCTGCCCAGCTAATTCACCAGGGAAAATAACCTTGAGGTATATTTATCACAGAAGAAAATAAAACATTCTAATGGATCAGGATTAGGCCTTTGGAAAAAGAGATTCATTAACAGAAATATGCCCCTCTTCCTTCCAACCTTCCCATGACCTGAAGTTATGGAAACAGAATACTCCAAAGAACAGAAACTGTTGAAAGTTTGTTTGTGGTGGTTGGAGGGGCAATGGTATTCCAAAAAAGTGGAACAGAGTAACAGATGTTGAAAGGAAAGGCCACAATTGGGTCCTTGTTTTCCAGTAGCTAAAACTCTAGAAGTTTTAAAACTGATCTTATTGTTCTAAACAATAAATTATCAAACTCCTTGGAATAATAAATAGATGGCATATATCCACATTCAGATGTCAAAAATGAGATTAAGAATGTAAATTAATTTCAAACAATTTACTGTTATTTTGAGTGACATGACTCAATATCTTTTGTAATACTTTCAATGTATTGAGACAATGTTTTAAAAGAGTCTGGATGAAAAGATTACTCACTATTTGGAAAGTATACAATAATATTCTTTCCATTCTAGCTGTCCTTTCTGTGTCTCTGGTCTCCCTCGCAAAATTTCATAATAGAAGTGTCTGTACTCAGTGTATCCAATTTCTATTTTCCCATTCTCTCTTGAATCTACTTAATGTGAACTAGTATAGACCAATGGGGCATGTGTGAATGTTAGACTCTTGAGCAGGTAACGGTATCCATCAAGAGAGGCAGGTGAAGGTGGGCCATTTCTTCATACTTCACAGGTTATAGTGAGAGCCTCAGAGAGCATTCTGAAACTCATGCAAATTCTATTTATAGCAACCAGGGACAAAAAAAGTCCAAAAATTAGAATTTTGCCTTTTAGGTGATTTGGACACAACTTGTTTGTGAATATCAGTAAGGCGAACAACCAAATTCCCCTGATTTCAAAACAAAGACCCAGCTAGAGATATGTAGGTGTCACTGAGGTGTGCATCAGACTTTTATACCATCTTACTTTACTGCAATGTAGATGGGAAATATTTTACGTAGTATACATTGACATAATTATCACTACTTTTACTTATGAAAACCCATTCAAACCTGCATAAGGATTCTAGGCAGGATCTCTGGTATTCATTAGAGGTTTAAACAATGAGAACAATGTATTAGCTTCTTTTGTATTGCGAACTTTATAGTTTTAGCTGTATTAGAATCACCTGGAGCATTTGTTAAAATTTGGATCACTGGATCCCCACCCAAAATTTCTGATTCAGTAAATACGGATGGGGTCTGAGAGTTTGCATTTCTAATAAGATGCCAAGTGTTATGATTTAGATTTAAAATATCCCCCAAAGCCTCATGTGTGGAGAAGCTGACTGGATCATGGGACCACTACACTCACCAATGGATTACCCACTGATGAGCTCAGTAGCTGAATATACCATTAAGAGGTGGTGCCTGGTTGGAGGTGGGCATGGCCAGGAAGGGTGTATTCTTTTTTTCTTTTCATTTTACCATTTATTATCACAGCTCTAGTAATAATTCATTTATTCCTTCATGAAACTGGATCTAATACCACAGGTATCAACTCAGATAAAATTCCATTCTATCCATACCACATACTTCATGATATCTTAGGTGTTGTTATTGTTAACTGTACTAATGTTGGTTTTCTTCTCTCCAGAGTTTTAAGAAGACCCAGATAATTTCATGCCCACATTCCCAATTAATGTGCTTCCCCATATTAAACCAGAATATTTCATATCCGCATATGCAGTCCTATGTTCTGTCCCCAATAAACTTGGAGTGATATAAGTACTAAAAGTTTTTATCCTCATGTTAGCTATCAGTCCTACCCTTTACTCATCAAAACAATGAAACATAACATTTTGTTCTTTGCGTCAATGCCTATCATAATTCTAGTAGCAAATTTACTTGCCCTGACGTGGATTGGAGGCCAGTCAGTATGATATCCTTTTACTATTGTTGGTCAGCTGGCATAGATTTTATATTTTTCTATTATAACCTTTATGCCATCAGTGAGCCTACTGGAAAAGAAGTTACTAAAAAGTAGTATAAGTATGACTCAGGTCTTATAAACTAAAAATGGAGAATTAATTTCCCTAGGGCATCAAAATCAAGGCAGAAGCTTTTAGCTCTACCACTTGCACCCTAAGCTAAAATTCTAATTAAGCTATTCCCCTACCAATATTGTATTCATATATTTTACATTTTATAAACTTAATCCATGCTATTATCTCTCTTATGTACTTTGTGCATTAATGCACTGCCCTATAACAATATAACAAGTGTTATACACTATAGTACTTAAAACATGCTATGTATAATCAACATTAAAATGACCCCATGTTTATAAGCAAGTTCAGAGAACCATGATAATACATAGGCCATCGAGTTCTTCATAATTCAAAACCATACAGAGATGATAAACCCAAGTAATCTATTAATTTTATGTAGGCCATACATCTTATCAATCCAACACTGGAAGGAAGGGAGATATGTGGCTCAGAAGTCCATAGAGCTGTGGGGCAGGAAGTCCTTGTGGCCATCATTGCTGTCCTGCGTGGTCTGCAGGGCCCGGCGGCCATGGGTTGGGCATCTTTTGCTTCACGTCAGTCCTCTGCCATCTTGTCTCTGCCTTGGAGCCAGTGGACCAAGGACTGAAACCATGAGGGTACTGGGTATGTTTTTCTTTTCCAGTGATGGGAAAATGATTAAGATATCAAGTAATATCTGGTCTGGGATCTTTCTTTCAGAACCCTTGATATTAGGGCTAGAGGTCAGTTTAAATTCAGTATTTGTTTGTGAGTTAATTTTGATAAATTTAGGAAGTTTTATATTTTATCTCTCTTTGGAATCTTAATTCATTAATTTTTATTTAAGACCTTTTTCTAAGGTACAATTTAAGATTATAATTAACCATTTAAGTATTATTTTATCTACATTGTACAAATCTGATATGTAGGATTCTATGTAGTTTCTAATTTCCAATATGATTTATCTCCTTATTAAATTATTATTATTATGCTGTTTTAGATTCTAATTTTATTTTCTACAGATTTTTCAGCTTTGACTTTGAAATTTGTTGCAGTGGTGTCAGAGAATATTGCCTGGATAATATCAGTTCCATAGTGCTAGATGATACCTCTTTTGTGATATAAGACAGTTACCAAGATTTCCATGTGATCTTAGAACCGTTTTCAGATATCCAGATATCTGCCCCTCCACTTAGGTCCTCTCCTGTCCATGTTCAGGGGTTTTAGACCAGTGGCTCTCACATTTAACTGTGTGGGGCACCACCCCACTGAGGGCTTTTGTTAAAACCTATAGTGCTGGCCCTAAAACCAGAGTTTTGGGGTCAGCAGGTCAGGTGCAGCCCAAG